GCCGATACAGCAGCATGGCTAAGTATCCCGCGGTGGCATGTGCTTCAGAATACAATGGGGCAAGCACGCACCTGTCCACTATAACGGGACAGGACCCTTCTGGACCTGCACCCGAATCAGTAGGTGCATGCAACCCGCACACAAGGTACTACAGGTCCATTCTGCAAGATTTGATGTGCGTGTGTCGCATACATATACTTCAGATTACAATGGGGCAAGCACTGCACCTGTCCATTACAATGGGACAGGACACTTCTGGACCTGAACCCGAATCAGTAGGTGCATGCAACCCGCACGCAAGGTACTACAGGTCCATTCTGCAAGATTTGAGGTGCGTGTGTCGCATGCATGTACTTCAGATTACAATGAGGCAAGCACTGCACCTGTCCACTACAATGGGACAGGACACTTCTGGACCTGCACCCGAATCAGTAGGTGCATGCAACCCGCACACAAGGTACTTCAAGTCCATTCTGCAAGATTTGAGGTGCGTGTGTCGCATGTTCAGCTGGTATGCGCAACACGGAGCAGTTGGACAGGGCAGTCTCAGCATGACTCAACTCAATGCCACTGCAATAGGGCCAAGACTGAGATACAAAAGGACTGTAGTGTACACACACATAGCTCATAACTATGTACACACACATAGCTCATAACAATGTACACACACATTGCTCCTAGTTTACAGCCGGGATGTAAGGTCTGACGCACGCAGTCAAAGAACGGAAACAGCCCCATCCCACCAACACGTACAACACACACATGTAAAATACGACACACGTACACGTACGTGTGTCGCCCACGCAGTTGTGCATGTAGCACAGCCAGAAAGAATCACACTGCTTACGCTAATATGGTAAATGTAGCGGAAGGGGAGGGGGTGTAAGGGGGGGGGGGGAGGTATATATATAGGCCTTTTCAGACTACACGTACATTGTATGGATATGAAGTATGTCACTCCTTACGTTGTACTGTTGCGAACGTCGCGGGCTTTCCTGGTTTCATGAACACGCGGCCAAAGTGTATGTCTGCCTTGAGATCATCCTGCAGGAGTGTGACAAATATATAAACAAACAAGTATACGTAAGTATATGAAAGTATATGCAAGCACAAGTAAGTATACGTAGGCATATGTAAATATATTTAAGTATATGTAAGTATGTGTAAATATATGTAAGTATATGTAAGTATGTGTAAATATAAAGTATATGTAAGTATGTGTAAATATATGTAAGCATATGTAAGTATGTACAAATAAATGGAAGTATATGTAAATATATGTAAGTATATGTAAGTATGTGTTGATATATGTAAGTATATGTAAATATATGTAAGTAAATGTAAGTATGTGTAAATGTATGTAAGTATATGTACGTATATGTAAATGTATGTAAGTATATATAAGTATGTGTAAATATACGTAAGTATATGTACGTATATGTAAATACATGTAAATATATGTAAGTAAGTGTAAATATATGTAAGCGAATGTAAGTATAGGTAAGTATATATAAAAATATGTAAAGATATGTAAATATATGGGAGTGAATGTAAGTACATGTAAATATATGTAAGTCTTTGTAAGTATATGTCGAACTTAGAGACCGCGTCATACACAGGTGGTGCGTGTGTGGGGTGCGCTGCGCAAGACACCTACTTGGGTAAGGGGTGAATATACACACATGTCAATAATTGACATGACACGTCTGCTGTGAGGGCTCGCACCTATTGTGTGTAGCTCTGGTCTGATAGCCGTACGGAGTAGTGACTCAGCATAACCGTATATATACGCTTGCAATGGTAGGTAAAAAAGTATCACAGCATATACGCTTGCAATGGTAGGTAGACACGTATCACAGCATGTGCAATGGTAGGTAAACACGTATCACAGCATGTGCAAGGAAGGTTTAGACTCACCTGCAGCACGGGCTTAATAAGATCGGTCTCGCCCATACTCACGCCGCCTGTTGTGATGATGATATCCGCAGATTCCAGTGCCTGAAGTACGAAGGGGAAAAATATACGCAGTAATAAGTTGGATGTAATAATAAGATGTATATATCAATAAGATATATATATATATATATATATATATATACGTATATATATATATATGTATATATATATATATGTATAAGTATATGTATATATATATATATATATATATATATATATACGTATACGTATACATATACATATACATATTCATATATATATATATAGATATATATAGATATATTTATACATATATATATATAAATATATGTATATATATATATATATATATATATTTATATATATATATATGTATATATATATATATATATATAAATATAAATATAAATATAAATATATATGATGGCACTCGTACCTCGTCCAGGGCATCCCTGAGCGCTTCTCTTCTGTCCACAACCACTCCTGCGTCCACAGGTTTCCCGCCAGCGGAACGAACGGCACTCATCAGCATCACCTGAACAAGATACACAAACGCAAACATAAGTATAATATCAGGGACAATAGAGGAGGATAAGGGAAGAGTGGTGTATAAAGGAGTGAAATATAGAGTAAAGTAGGCGAGCTTGGTTGAGAAACAGTTGTATAGTCATACCAGTCCCAAAGTTTATATATATATATATATATATACACACACACACACACACGCACACACACACACACACATATATATATATACAATAAAATAATAAATATAATAATAATAATAATAATAATAGTCATGATATATACTATATATACATTATGTATATATATATATATAGTATATAATATGACAAAATATTAATTTATATTAATAATAGTATTATTAATAAAATGAGATACATATATACGCACATAAATATATATATACATATACATATATATAATATATATATATATATATATATATATATATATATACTGATGAAGGGTATAGCCGCACACTATAATACGTTGATTTCACCAAGATTACATTTCAAACTATGATTGTATGCTAATGTTGTGCATGTATTGTATGTATGTATATGTATATATAACATACACACGCGCACACTTCCAACTACTCTGAAGACATTGACCAAAATATCATTGTTGGTATTAATATATAAAACTGTCCAGAATATATGTACATGATAGATATGGGTTAACGAATTGAAACGTCCAAAGAGGGGTATATGCAGGTTATATATGATATAACTAGCCCATGATTGATATTGCACACTCGGTACTAACATACAAAGTCAAAGATATATGCACATAAGAAACACGGGTTAACAGCTTGTAAACATTATGATGGATATGATTAAACTGATCGCTCTCACAACACCATACAGTAGATACATATCAATAACCCGTGCCAGGATACCATTCAACTAGCATGTCAGCAGTAACTAGTACAGCTCACGTACCTTATTGCTATCGTAAATCTTTCCTGGCGGTGGCGTGGTTCCGTTGTCATGTGGGTGTAGCTCGTTTCCGGTGGAGAGGATATGTACTCTGCGCGGCCCGTTGAATGGCCAGGGTGTGAGAGGATGTCAATCGTGTCAGAACCACAGGAGAGTTGCCCAGAGTTACCTACACGAGCTACCTACATCGGACACGCGCTATATTACTAGATGCTCGGGTGTACAGTTGGCAATAGTTTTGCATATTGTACTATGATGTAGTACGTCTATCGATCATATAGATTCCTCGGCGCACTCGAGCCCCTTGCCGGTTGGGTGTGGCTGCACCCGGTTGTGTATACCAGGCAGTACAAGTGGATAAGATTCGGTGCAGGTGCTGTGATAGTCTACCCCAGTAGCATACTACCGTGGCGGTGGTGGTGGTGATGGTGATGATGAAAGGTTTCTCTCTCTCTCACACACACACACCACTAAACTACTACTACAGGACAGTACTCACCAAAGCAAGAACTGACCCCCCCCCCCCCGCAGGGTGGAGACTGATAAATATTAACCTACATCCGTTAAAAAGGAATCTCAAGCTGCACAACCCCGCAAGAAACCCCACAAAAACCAGTCCAATCCCCCCCCTCCCCGGAGACTGTTTTAGGTTAGTTGGTACCTACATCCACTGACATTCAGAGATTGCCAGGAAATCTACAGCTGCCAGGGCTCTGCCGCTCACAACGGAACTCCCCCAACGGATTAAACCCTAAACCCTAAGACCCTAAACCCTAAAATCTAGCATGCAAGTTATTTTTACGCTTTGTACTAGATCCCTCCGAGTATCTACCATGCATGGACAATGTCTGGTGAGGTATTAACCGCTCAGTGTAGGCTATTCTACTTCTACAGTGCTGGTGCACATATATGGTAGCCAAAGAACTCCAGTCACTCAACCTGCACAGGCGTATTGTGCAGTATAATATGCCGCCCGAGGCGAGCTGCGTGCGGCTCACAAGAAACAGTATAATCTACTGCTGATAGTCTAGGACGAACCACTTTATACATACATACATACATGTATATACATACATACGTACATATATATATATATATATGCATACACACACACACACACACATATATATATATATTTATATTAGATATATAAATATATAAATAGATAATATAAATTTATAAATATAAATATATAAATATATACGCGCCCGCACGCACACACACACACATATATATTTATACATACATACATATATATATATATATATATATATTATATAAATATATATATATAGATATATAGATATATAATATAAATAGATAATATATATATATATATCTAAATACATACATACACACACACAGACGCGCACGCACACACACACACACGCACACACACACACACGCACACACACACACACACACACATATATATATTATCGTTCAATAAGCCCACATAATTAACCTGCTCATACCATGCGGCGTATCACAGAGTAAACTCCAGCATGATAATACTAACTAGACTAATACATATCCTATCACCACAAATAACACCCACTAGACCTATACCCCCCACCCATCACAACCCTGAGCACACACCTTGGTTTCCGGTATACACTCGCAGTCGCCGTTCCTACCATCGCTAGCAGACCCAGCTCACACTCGCCCAAGCGTGTGCCTGCAGCCACCACCACCTCTCCTGGTTTAATGTCCATGCCCGGGTGTCGGATGTCCTGCCCCTGGTGAGCCTTGGTCAGGATGCGCACCCGGATCTCCCGCTTCCCGTCCGCACTGGCTTCCACGAGCTCTGTGTCCTCCACCTGGTGCGCGAGAAACAGGACCGGTCCGAAAAATGAGGACATGGGTGTCATTCGCCTATACCACTTGGTTGTGATGGCTCGGGAGGTATCACTGTGTACACATACGAGCGCAGGGCGAATCTCGAATCTCGTTCCCAAAGTACGTTAACGTTTTACGTTTCTCGATCTTCGAGAAGAGGGTCGAATCTGCACCAAGACACGCGAGTGTATGTGTGTATGTGTGTATGTGTGTATTTGTAGATTCATCTTTGGGTGTGTATGTGTGTATATATAGATTCATCTGTGTGGGGTGTATGTGTGGATATATAAATCCATCTCTGTATATATATA